CTCTCACAAGAGCAAGTTGTATCAGGATGAAAGTTTATTACTTATACCAGAGCAAGTGAGAAAACTGAATGGAATGTGAAAACTATACCTAATTTTATGTACATATACCAGACAGCTAAATGTATACTATATACCAACATATGATTACACGATATTACAAAACCATTTATAGAGATTCTTACTAAAAACTTCGGCAATAGCTAAAGCTAGCTTTGTTTTACTTTCTGATAAAAAAGAAATGCAAAAAAGCTTAAAAACTTCAATAAAAATGCTTCCTCTGTTCCACATAGATCGCACGATTCATATTTCACAATACTCATACAGAAAATGTTTAAGGTTTTAGGAACTGAAAAATCAAATAAAATACTTTTTCTATATTCACACAGTACCCATTGTGTTCTATTATATCAGTTGGAGTTCTATGATATAGGCCAACTTTAAAAAGTTACAGAAACTTATACTTAAGACTCAAACATATTTTGTGGATTATTCATGGGAAGTTCTCTTTGAAGTCCAAAGATAGAGGCAGACTCCACCTACTTACCCAAATGACACACTTAAAGAAAACCTACAGTAATTTCAACACAAGCACATGCTTACTATAAGTGACAAAGCAAATTTATTTTTAAAAACTGCATGGTTCATTTCCAGACTAAATAAAAGCAACTTGAATTATCCTCAGCACTATTTCTGTAAGTAAACCAGTTGTCTATCCCATAATAAGAAAATTCCAAATTACGGAAAACATAGCTTTTCCCTATCCTTTGAGAAAAGTTTGGAATCTAAGAGATTTCAAATTATTAGCAAAACAAAACAAACAAAAACACCCAAGATATCAAAGGAATACTGGCATGCAATATTAGGTCTTTGGCTTGATATGAGTCTAACTTTATTATGATTTCACAGTTAATTCAAAAGATTCCAAGTACCCATTAAAACTTTTAAGACCTAAGGAGACAGGCACTGTGGTGCATGCCTGTATCCCAGCTACGGGTAAGTGGAGGTAAGAGGATCGCTTCAGGGCTGGGGAGGTCAAAGATGCAGTGAATTGTGATAGCACACTGTGCTCCAACTTGGGCAAAAGCGTCGAGACCCCATCCCTAAACAAATAAATGAAAAATAAAATAAAATGAATAAACAACAAAAACTCTCTGAAACCTATACATTAATAGGAACACTTTCAAAATAATTTTATCCACATCCCCTTGTTTTCTCCCTTTACAGAATGTAACAATAAGGATTTTAGTCTAATGTCTTAAAGTCAAAAAGGAAAAATAAATAACATTTATTAAATACCTATCATGTGTGAGACACTGATAATTACACATAGTCTCATTTAACTGCCAGGGCAACTACTGCTATCCCCATTTTGTTTACAGAGATCTGAGTTACCGGATGTCGTCTGAGGTAAGGGACACCATCTGCTGGTTAATTCAGTTGAGTGACTTGTCCAAGATGGTAAAATCAGGACTACAACTTCAGTGGTTTGACTATTAGTCTAGAACTGTCACAGCACAGTTGCTTCTGGAAGTTGCAGAAATCATAACCCTGGTGTCACTAAGATGTTAACAAATGTTCTGAGAAATAAGTACTCTTGTGGTTCAAGTTTTGGACAAGTTATATCAGAATCTTCCAGAACTGAAATATGCACATTGTTCTTAAAAAAGGCAATAAAATGTAAAGTGTTCTCATTTATTAAACCATGAAACCTTCTGTTTTAAAGAAAACCTAATAATTTCCCATGGGATGTTTGTGTTCAACTAAGCAGTTTGGAAAATGATCAGACAGTTCAATCTCCTCATTCCATGGTTTGAAAAAATGAGGTGCAGGGAGGTGAAGTAACAGCAACATACTAACAGGACCAGGGCTGGCACCAAGGAGACCTGATGATTCCCACCAGGATGCTCTTTCCCCTAATCATCCTGTCTCACTGTTTCTACAAAGTTTAACATCACTTTTTTTTTTTAAGTATTACCTCAATCATTTATTCTGATTTTCCTGAATTACAGTAAAGAGAAACCATTTATAGACATGAAGCTCGAAAATGCTCTGCCTCCCAATGCACTAGTATTTCAGAAACTTGGACTATATTTGGAAACGTGGGAAATGATTCCACTTTAGTAACACTGAATAACAATTTTAGGCCAAGTAGTACTACACTCTTATTTTTCTTTGAAGTGAGACATTAGTCCACCCTAATGCTGCATACAGGCACACTGAGTAAAGAATATCCAATCTGTGACCATCTTTATAAATTAGGACAATTTGTCCATTGCTTTCCCCTTACCTCATTCGCCCGAGGGTGGCTTCCTTTTACTTTGTCCTACCCCTTCTAGCAAACAGTAAACAGTCCTGGCCAGTGATGCCATCTGGCGGTTAGTTCAGAAATTGTTTAACCAACACACCTTCCAATCAGGATCTTACCATCTGGACCCTCCAAAACCACACTCCCCCGTCTTCCAATTTTTGCCCATTTATCTTAGTAAAACCGGCTTTCTTCTTTTCTGCTCGTTTTATCCAACTGAATGCAAAAAGTATTTTATATGTGGCACTCTAGTTACAGAAAAAATGAGTCCTAAGTACATTCGAAGCTAAAGAAACAAACCAACAAACAATGAGAGGCCAAAATAATCCCCAAAATGTCCCCATTGGAGATCCTGTCCTATTAGAGATTATTGGAATCTCCATTATTCATCCAATGCCTTCAGGGAATACCAGTGCTGAGAAGGACCTCCAGGATCATCACTTCAAGGTCGAATGCTTCATTTTACAGCTGAAGAAACTGGCTCCAGGAGAAAGAAATAAAGTAATCACCCACTCAACAGGACACAGCAAGTTAATAATCCTCAAAATGCCCCCATTAGAGATCCTGTCCTTATAGAGATTATTGGAATCTCCGTTATTCATCCAATGCCTTCAAGGAATACCAGTGCTGAGAAGGACCTTGAGGATCAACACTTCAAGGTCAAATGCTTCATTTTACAGCTGAAGAAACTGGCTCCAGGAGAAAGAAATGAAGTAATCACCCACCCAACAGCACACAGCAAGTTAATGGCAGAGCCATGATTATGACTTGGACTCCCCATTCCAAATCCAGTGCTGGGTAAAGTACTTGGTGTGCTCCAGGCTTCTGAAGGTTGTTTTTCCTCAACCAGTGTGTTAATTATAGTAATACTGTGAATCTCCTGAGGGCAGTTCCCAAAACTAAATCTCCTCTATACAGTCTCTAGCACACTTCGTTAATATTTATTGACTATTTGAGTATCTATTAATTACTGTACTTCTTGTAAATCTAGAACACTTGCAGTAGACAGGCTTCTTAAAAATCTACTTAAAAAGCGAACTGCCAGCTGGGCGCGGTGGCCTGTAATCCCAGCACTTTGGAAGGCCGAGGCAGGCGGATCACCTGAGGTCAGGAGTTCAAGACCTGCCTGACCAATACGATGAAATCTCGTCTCTACTAAAAATATAAAAATTAGCCAGGCGTGGTGGCATGTGATTGTAATCCCAGCTACTCGAAAGCCTGAGACCGCGAATCGCTTGAACCCCGGAGGCGGGGGTTGCAGTAAGGCGAGATAGCGCCTTTGCACTCCAGCCTGGGCAACAAGAGCAACTTTGTCTCAACAACAACAAAAGCGAACTGCCATTTTGTAACACTGTTTCTATGACTATTCCCATTAATCATCACACGATAACCTTTTGGAACACAATCCATTCAGAAATTTGAGACTTCCTGTTCACCTGATTAGTCTTAACCAAACGAAGGTAGAAGAAAATATGTGGCATAGGGTGAAAACAAACCAATTTTGAAGAAGATAAAAATTCTAGTACTAGTTGCATTATAATCAGAAGACTTTAGGCAAGTTCGTCTTCTCTCCCAGAAAATAATCCTCGACCCTAACCTCTTGTAGGATAACCAAATCTTTCATACAGTACAAATGTCTATAATGCGTAGAGGTATAACTAATAGTAATTTCTATTTTAGGCCCTGTGACTAATTACTTTACATATACAATGTCATGTAATTCTTGCAGCCCTATTTTACAGATGAGAAAAAACAAGGCTTAGAAACTTAAACTCGTTCAGGGTCAGATGAAGAACTCAAGGGCCAGCTTAGAAGTGAAAGCCTCCAGAGCCAGTGCTTTCCGGGAAACGATAATGCAAGGCCCACTTAAATACTACCACTCCGCGGCTCTGCAGTCAGTGGGGCGTGAAGGCAAGCGACCAAGATCGCTATTTCCAGGTACAGTTAACGTACACAGTGAAACACTGGAGTACACCGAACGATGCGTCACGAAGACCTGGGTCTTTTCCCTGAACTGGGCAGCTCAGGGACCCCCACAAGTCGCTTAGCACTCTGGGCTTGTCCAACTTGCAGAGAAGGGGCTGCCCCGGAGCCAGCAAGGCTTTTGATCGTGGATCACACTCAGGGTGTAAACCTGTGCGTATCAAGTCATGCTTCTGGGAAAGAACCTTTATCAGATCCCTCCAAAAAAGAAGACCCGCTGGATTAGGCACTGCAAAGTTCCGCTTGCTTCTCCGACAGCAGGAAGCTCCCGGAAGGAGGAGCTTTCTCAAGGCTTTATTACGCCAGCAGAAAGGCCGGCGGCTGGGCGAGCTCTGCCTTCCGTTCCCCACTAAGTTGTGGGAACTGAGAACCGCCGCCGGGCCCAGCTAACAGCCTCCAGCCGCCGCGGGGTGAACGCTCGCACTCTGCCCACCTCTCGGGGTGGGCGGCTGGCAGGGTGCTGTCTCCCTCCCCGGGCCGCCGGCTGCCCTGCGCCCCTGCGTTCCGCTTTGAGGTCTTGATCCGCCGCCTCCTCTCTGGCAGTTCTCCTGACTCGGCGCACGATCCCGCCGGCCTGGAGCGCGGGGTGACCGCCGAGGACCCCAAAAAGAGAGCGAGGGGAGACCGCGCAGGCGCTGCAAGTGCCCCCACTCCATCCCCTTACCCAGGTTTCTCCCGCGCGCTGCGCGGCGAAGCTGTACGAGCTACTTACTGAAGAAGAGGCGGTAATTATGCGAGCAGGGCTGTCCGCGCTCCTCGGTGTGGTACTGGGCCATAGCACGGCGCGGCCGGGTCCCTGCGCTAGTCGCCAACTGCAGGCAGGCAGCGGCGGGGGCACCCGCGCGCCACCCGCGGCCCGTGCGCAGCACCAGCTGCAGCAGCGCGCTCATGGCGTAGATGGCGGTCCGGCTCTGCGCGGGGAGGTACTTGAGGGCCCTGCCCGTCCGCGCCGGCGCCCCCTACCGTCTGGAGTCGTCCCTACTACCCGCGAGCTTGGGCTGCAATCCCGGTCCTTAACCAGTGGAATCTGGGCCACCAGCCAGTTGTGCGCACTGTACCTTCAGCGAGGCTGCGGCTCAGAGAAGGGCCCACCACTCCTGAGGCGCTCACTGTCACTCGTTAATTCATACATTTATTCATGACTTCATTTATCCCGTCAAGATTTACTATAATGATTTATTAGAGTAATGTAATATTGAGTGATTACTCTGTGCCGGGAACTGGTCTATACCCTGTCCAATATCGGAGATGAGCGCGCACACACGCAGACATCACTATAAGACAAAATGATCAGGCCACCACGTCAAAACGTGACCTTGACACCGACTTATACAACAAAAACCCCTAAGTAGCTTATTCAAATGCCATCTTCTCCATGAGGCCATTTCCTAACCCAGTAGAGGTGATTTATCCTTTCTCTTACATTTTCATTTCTTCAATGGTATTTGATACCATACTTGTATAACTGTGAACTTATTATGTTCCCTATTTCACCTTGACCTGCCCACAAGATGGTAAGTTGACCAGGCACTGAAGACTTGAAACGTAGTATCCCTGCAGGATGTTGCACCATACTTGGCATATAATTACGGTTTCTTTATGGCTTCTGAAATTCCCTCTCTGCTAAGTCTTTCTCATCAGCTTATAAATTTCTGGTTATGGAGCTTTCCAGAAAAACTTGTTAGAAGAGTTTTCCACAGTCACTATCTCCATTTCTTCATATTCTTCCCTCATGTCAATCCAGAAGGTTTCCTCCACCTTCCCAAGGTCATCAAATGACCTCCTTGTTGTCAAATAGAAAAGTCAATTATCACAGTAAATAGGAGTGAAAGAATCCAGAAGATAGAAGTAAATAAGATTTTATAAATTACAAACTAAAACTTTTTAAAAATTAAATGTATCAGTTACTCAGTATATAAAAGTGAGAGCTAAAAGAGTAGCAATTTTATAGAAAGAGGCAAAGAAATGTGTGCTTATGGACTTGAAAAAACAAAGTGAAATGATTTTAATTAAAAGGCATTAAAATTATCTCCTGATTTAAAATACTGCAGTAAAAATTAGATTATAAATGAGATTTTAATAAGCACAATGAATACATAAATTCATAAAAATATAATTCTAACTTAAAATCCAGGCCCTTTAAGGGAAAACTTACATCCTTTACATAGATTATGTTAACTAATTTATAGTAATTAAGTTAGAATTGCAAATTTGATACTAAACTAATTAACTTCTCTGTTTTATGGCTACAAACTACACAATATGGTTAATAAGAAGTTAGACAAGATATTTAAAACCAACATTTACTTACAAAGATCTGAAAGCTAGTACCGAGATGGCTCTGGAGCGGAGAAATCCCGTAGGAGGGAACCAAGTGAATTCTGTCTTATTGCTCTTATGTGCTTGACCTCTATTGATAAGGTCACCTTCATAATTTAAGATAGGTACCACAGCTCCAACATTACATCCTCATTCCACCTGCCAGACAGACAAAAGAGAAGAAGGTTGTACCCCTTCCCTTGAGAACATTGCTCACAAATCACTTGTATCACTTCTACTTGCATCCCATTGGACAGCACTTAGTCTAATGGCTACAACAAACTACAAACTAGCAAACCTTATTCTGGGTAGTGATAGCCCTATATAACAATTGGGAGCCATACTACTGCAGAAGGAGAAAATGGATATTGTAGGACAACCAGTAGTCTGCCACAAGTGTCATTTTTTTTCTTTGTAGTCCATCTTCTTTGAGACTGTCATCATCTAGACCACTTTCCTACTGGGCACCCAGGTTCTTTCAGCATTGTGATCATTAAAATTGGGAGACTGGTCAAAGTCTAGGTTCTGGAACTCCTAGGTTCCAGAAGGGATCCCTAGGAGATGTTGTGACTGGCTACTTAGAGGCTCTCTACTTAGATTATAGATCCTAAAATGTTTTCTCAACAGTGGTAGCTTTGAAATGTGTCAATTTGAATAGGCATACTATAAGGCAAAAGCTCCCATTAAAAGGGAGAGAAAATCTCTTTTGTGCATATGTCACAGAGTTGTGTAATTTTATTGTTTATGTTGGAAAACAAGCTTAATTTTTCTATTAAGTTTTGAAGATCAGATATTTAAATAAGTCTAATTCCTATGGAGGCAAGGTTGTGGGCTAATTTCTAATGATCTATGGATCTTAAATTATCTAGGCTGGGCATGGTGGCTCATGCCTGTAATCCCAGCACTTGGGAGACCAAGGTGGAAAAATTGCTTGAGCACAGGAGTTTGAGACCAGCAGCCTGGGCAACCTGGCAAAGTCCCATCTCTACAAAAAATACAAAAGTCAGCTGAGCAGGGTGGCAAATGCCTGTAGTTCCAGCTACTTGCAAGGCTGAGATGAGAGGATGGTTTAAGCCTGGGAGGCAGAGGTTTCAGTGAAGCAAAAATCATGCCATTGCACTCCAGCTTGACCAACAGAGCCACACTGTCTCAAAAACAAAGTTATCTATTGAGTTAATCTAGCATGTAGTTCTGAGGTCCCTCTTGCAAATAGCTTTTCTTAACTCTGGCAACATATTTTATTAATAACTGACAACAAATTACATGCATCCTGATTTTAAGAAAATAAAGTTACTAAATATTTCTAAATGTGAATGTTTACTTAAAATGAAATCTCGCCAGGCGTGGTGGTTCACGCCTGTAATCCCAGCACATTGGGAGGCTGAGGCGGGTGAATCACAAGGTTAGAAGTTCAAGACCAACCTGGCCAAGATGTTGAAACCCCGTCTTAAAAAAAAAAAAAAGACAGGAAAAAAAATGAAATCTCTTCACTAACTTGTCATAAATTACATTGTAAAATGTTACTAGGTTATTATGCATTCAAAAAAGGAAATGGTGACTTTTTTGAGTTTACATTTATTTTTAATCACTTACATTTTCTTAAATCACTTAAATAATGTTTACATTTATTTTTAATCACTTCAATTTTCATCTTTCATTCTTTACAGTTAATTGAACTATTTGAGAATCAAAATTAAAAATGGATAATATGAATGATAGGAAATAATAATAGGTATCAGGTTAGCTTTTAAAATTTTTTTAAAAATATTCTGAGGGTAATATTTATTACATAATGTTTAATTATGCAATTATTCAAATTTAGATGTTTGGAATCTAACACATTGGACTTTCATTATTGACATCTCCTGTTGTCATCATGTAGCAAGTATAAGTCTTAGTCCCAGGAGTTTGCAAGTTGGAGAGTAAAGACAAATACATATAAAATAATATTTCCAGAGTTTATGAAATACAAAACCACCAGAGATTCTTTGATGAAGAATTGAAACTGATGGTTCAGGAAAACTAATTTATAACTAATATGTAAGGAGGACCAGAATATGAAATAAAAGACATGGTGTCCAGGTATGGACACTATCTCAGGTACTAAGTAACAAGGACCCAGACAGTCGATCTGGCAACAGAAATAGAAATGAATGTTGAATTTGGAAAAAAAACACCAAATTTGATGTCTTATTGGAAGTATTGAAACAAGGATGGAAGAGTTTAAAAAAATTACTCAGTGTTCTATATGGAATAAATAACCGAGATACGTGGCATTATTTTCAGATATATGTTAATAAAAATGAGAGAGAAATTTTGACACTAAGTTGATAAATATGGCTTGGGACATATTGAGTTTGAAACAATGCAGAGTTCCTGCTGGAGATGAAACTATTTTCACCAGTGGAATTCTCTGACAAGCAGACTCTGAGATTGAATTTGGTATGTATATGCAGGGTTTATTAGGTTGTACACTTGGGATCAATGTTAAAATGAAGGTAAAAAAGCAAGATTGAGCTGAGAGAGAAGTTGAGCTGTGATGCAAGCCAATAGCCTCAGCCGACCTCACAGAATACTCTGGAATTTAAAAGACCAGTTACAGTTTTGGAGAGCACAAGTTGATGAGCCTTTATTACCTCAATGATTGAATGTATATAGGCTGACCTGGGAAAGGACATGGTTTGGACAAGGCAGCTATGGTCATCCCTGAAGAAGCTGACAGATAAATGCTATTTACTGCCTGTACTCCCAACAGTTGAGAAAAAAAAAAAAAGTCATTAAGCAGTGGCACATCACGGTGACTACCACAACTGTGAAACTGCAGTAAAGATAATAGTTGAAACTAGAGAAAAATTAGATAATTAGTGAATTCCAGTTCTGTTTCTGCTTTCAGCATCGGTAAGCAAAACACAAAATCTATCATGGTTATGGTTATTGTTTTTTGAAATGCTAGATTATCCTAATAGAAAACAAAATAATTTTGGAATTGGGAAGTACTCATTTATGTGTTTGCTTTTATACAAGCAGCAAATATCCCTAAAATGAATTATTATTATTACATACAACATGACTAGCAAATTAAGAAATTTTCTAATTGCTCATCTTTGCTTGCAACAGCTAGCTTGTGGGAGGCAAGAAATAGAGCAGTACGAAATAAAAATAATGAGAATTTTAAAATAATTTTGAATATTTTCTAATTAATCAGTTCAGAGACATACTGTGATATCACTAGACTTTGGAAGACTTTACCCACAAGAGAGACTTTAAAAGTAATTTTCACCTTACCAAACATTCAAAATATTTGTCAAATTATAAAAGATTTTAAAAATGTTTCAGAATGTTACCTAAAGTTCATATTCACCTGATATTCATCAATCACATTTTTTCCTAATAAATACATGTCATAGTTCTATATGATTTCTCATTTAAATACTGGAAATTATCTATTGATAAAATTATTTTCACAATGCAACAAAGCTACAAGAGCTTGACTAACTTTAGGTCTTAAAATGTATACACGTGTGTGTGTGTGTGTGTGTGTATTTTTTATTGCTGTAGTTATTTTTCTTAGTAAAACAATGATGCTTCAAGAT